GGCTTTAGTGTTAACACTGCACACTGACATCAAAGGATGTTGCATAGATCTTGTCCTATATGTGCAACCACGACAATTTTTATAAGCGATTTCAGGCTAGAGAGAGTGGGTAGACTAGATGACCTCTCAAAGCAGTGTAGATTAAGCCAGAATCTGGTAGCTGTATGACCTTAGGGAAGAATCTCAGCCTCTTTAAGTCTCAAATTTCTCACCTGTAAAGTGAATTGTATTAGATAGCTTAAAAGATTCCTTTCCTCTTCATGATTCAAAAGAGACTTCAATTTCCTTATTTGCAAAATAAGGAAATCAAAGTCAGTTATAGAAGCATAAATCAGGATAGTGGGTCCCAAAGAATACTTAACTTTCCTTCTTGTGCTAAAATTATGTGTTTTTGCTTCCACAGTAAAAGGCTTCTCTCTCCCCTAACAACATATTTGGTTGTCAATGCTAATTATAGGATTTGTTTTATTTTCAAAGTACTTAGATAGGAACTATTAGAGTGTTTAGATTTCTTAAAAAAGTCCCTTTAAAACTCAAATGTGTTGCAGAATATTTTTCCCTTAAAGAATGTTTTTTTTGTTTGTTTTTTTTTTTTGCAAGAGATTGGGATAGGGATAGAGGAAAGTATACAGCATAAAATGTGAGTGGAAAAGTGATTAGCTCTAGAAAACTCACTTTGTGCGCTGTCAGCACAATGCCTGGAAGAGCAGGCATTTAATAAACACTTGTTGACTTGATCCAATGGGAACTAAATCACGAAAGTATACATGTAGACCCAGCATTAGCTCTCCTGTCATTTAACAGTCTTCTAAAAACTCAAGGATGGGTCATGGAACAGAAGGGTTCCTAGTTTTTTCTTAAAAATCCCCTAGCATCTTCAAGATTTTTAATGTTTTGCCAATACTTACTTTATAGAACTATTTTCAGTGGTTTAGTATCACAAGGTTCTTCCCCTACCCCCACCCCCACATTCTCCTAAAATACTTCAGAGTGCCAAATAACAAAATGGGAAGGCAGTGAGGGACAGGGTGGAGAACTAAAGGTCACCTGGGGTAACAGGTGCTGACTCAGACAGACACATTATCAAGTTTCTTCCATGACACAGCATTCTAATCTGTACAGACAACACTGAACACATGTGAGTCAGTGAAAGATGAAAGGGGGGGAGGGCAGAATACAAACTAGTAATAAGCAAATGACATTAGACAAAGTTAAATGAGCAAATTACATTAAGCAATGTGAATGCTTTGTCTATTTTGGTAAGTAATTTTAAGCTTCTTTTAAAGTTCATTACAGGGACAAAAAACGTGTAACTAACCTTGCCATGTGGGGTCTAGGTTTTGAAGGGCTTTCCTAACACATGTTAAATGGCTCACATGATGGTGGCAAGGACAGAAGTTTGGTTAGGAGCCTGCCTGCTTCATTAGATAGATATGCTTGGCAGTATAGTTATCAGCTGACACCGTGATATCTTCTAGCTCTGTGGAATGGACGCTGCATAGGTGCAACGAAGGTGCCCCATCCTTGACGAGCTTCTGTCAGAACGATAAATCTCAGATAAGTGGGCTTCAGTGAGTCATGGGGCCAGATTAAGTTTATAAAGAACACCAAATTTGGAGTTGAAGAGCTTCAGTTCAAATTCCAACTCTGCAATTCACTACATGTGAGACCTTGGACAAGCTATTCAACCTCTCTAAGACTCAGTTTCATCATCTGTAAAACAAGGGGGCTGGACTAGATGACCTCTAAGGTCTCCTCCACTTCTACATCTATGATCTTAATTGTCTCCTCAGCTTAAATCGAGGAATCTCAACGTCAACCTGTCCCAAAGAGAACTCATTATTATCCTTCCCCTCAAATTCATGTCTTTTCTGAATTCTCCCATTTCTGACAAGCACACCACTCTCCTTTTCATCATCCAGGTTCATAACCTTGGAGTTACCTTGCATGCTTATGCCCCCTTACTTCAGATATCCAATCAGTGGCCTTGCAAGTCATATAAATTCTACCTCTCTTGTAACTATACCCTTCTCTCCACTCATGCTGCTACCACTCTAGGTCTCTTCCCCCCCTAAATTTCTCTCTCTTCCCTCTCCTCTTCTCTATTTCTCTCTCATTTCTCCCCCTCTGTTGCCTTTCCCTCTCCCCTTCTTTAAATTTGGGTCTTACCTATATCCTCATGTCAAGATAGGACCCAACTGGGTCCTAGGAAGGGAGTTCAATCCCATCCTATCTATAGAAAGACTTGTGTGTCTTAATATTCTTTGGGTTACTATTAAGAATCATATTTGCAATTTATAAAAGTACTTCTAATCACACGTATTTTTATATTGAGAAAAAATGTCTCTCCTCACCCCCCAACAAATCCATGTGTTCACTGGTCATCATTAAATTCTGCTCCCAACCTCAATCAAAATTGTCTGTTTATGCAGTACTATTCAGGCTGCCAAATGTTTCCTCAACCATCGCCAAAAAGATCCCGAGTTAAAGAGTGTACTTGTTTTGATACAAAGAAACACGGGGAGTGTTAGTAACAGAACTGGGAGAGAAAAATGGGTATTATTTTTAAAAGTTGTCACATGCATATGTAACTAGTGTCATCTGAAAACAGTAACCATGGATCCAGTTATACATTGTGTTCTTTTAGGCACTAATCAAAAATTTGAAGAGAATTTGTCTCAGGCTTCTAATATTTATCATAAACTAGATCTAAGATCTGCAGAGAATGCTTTAAAAATGTAACCACTCATTGCATCTATTTTAAATGTTTTCTAACAAATCAAAGTGGAATCTTTCACAGGAAACTAATAGGAAATTTGGATAGATGAAGACACAAAGAAATGTTAAAACACACATAAATGAAAAGAAATTGAATTCAAAACTAAATTTTGCTTCAACAGAATGTAAGCTACTTGAAAGCAGGGATTTTTTGTCTTTTTTAGCCCTACAGCCTAACAGTTCCTGGCATAGAATAAGCACTTAATAAAAGCTTGTTGATTGATTTAAGAGAAAAATATTTATTTTGTCCTATTTGCTTCATAATTATAAACACCTTTTATATATATCTATATATATCTATATATCTATATATATCTATCTCATACCAGTGTCCTCCTAATCACCAAAGCCAATTGTCTCCTCAGTTTTTCTCCTCCTTTGACTCTTCTGCAAAATTTGCAAGTCAATTGACTTTTCTTTTTCCCTTGCCACTGACTCCTTCCCACCAGACTACTGTACACTAAGTATCATGGATTCTCCCTCTGAATGGCTCCTGTCTATTCCTTCTTTCCTATTCTCAAACTTAATTTAGGACCTTGTTACCTCTTGCCTAAACTATTATAAAAGTTTCTAACTAGTACCCTTATATCCAGTTTTTCTAATCTATCTGTGAGAGTGTAAGTTCCATGAAGCCAGAAGACTTATCTTATCTAAACTTTATATCTCCCTTAGAGTTTAGGCTTAGTGTTCTACATTACTTAATTCCATCCTGTCTGCTCCTAATTCCATTTGCACACACCACTGCCCAAGTTTGCCTTGGAATCCTCTCCCATTTCCACCTGGTGAAATTCTTCTCTTTCTTCAGTCCAGCTCAAGAGATGTTTCCATGAAATCTTCCCCAACTCCATTTCTGACCACCCTTCCCTGCCCCCACTCCATATCTAGAGTTGATCTATTTCTCCTCCAAATCCTCGTGCCTCTTTGTCTACTGTTTGCCTACTCCTGTGTACTTATTTCATTCTAATTTGCCATATAGTTATGTGTGTCTATGTATACACATACATACATACACATCCATAAATACATACACATCAACCCTCCCATCCTCCTCCCCAGTAAACTGTAAGCTCCCAGAGGTCAGAGGATTTTTTTTTCATACCTTTATTTTCTGTGTCCAGTACAGTACCTCATGTATAGTAGGCACTTGGTATATGTATAAATATTTTATAAAAAACATTCCGAGTGATCTTTGTTGAAGACAGTACATGCATTTTCAATATCTTCTTATTCATTCTGATTGATTTCTAAGTTTGGATAAGGGAAAATGACATCCTCATTTCACAGATGAGAACATGAAGGTATAGAAAGGCTAAATGATTATCTAAGGCCAGACAATGAATTAGTGTTACAGCCTGTGAATGTAATCTGCTGATTTTTAGTCTAGTGTGCCATCCTCTTCTAGCTAGGGAACATGATCTGCTTCTGTATTTGGAAAGAGAGGTCAGCCACATCAGTACAAGTGGAGTCAGGAAGACAGGAAAGTTCCACCATAGAAACTCAAATAACCCTAACAAAATCTGGAGAAAGAATATGGAAAGTTATAATATGGGCTTTGTAGTTTTAAACCCAGGTGAGGAGTTATCAAGGGGGCAGGGGTTTGGAGTACATATAAAGCTGGCTCCAAAGTCAGGAAAAGCCATGTTGTAGCTCTGTCTTTAGACGATGCTTGAAAAATCCAAGTTTCACAATGGCTGCTGATTTGCTTTGGTAGAGGGAGCTTTCTCCAGGGAGATCTCTATGCTGATATTACAGGTATGAACAAACAAAAAACCTGTGAAGTGGTCCTATGTATTAGAATTCAGATGATTTGAAGTTATGATTATGCAAAATATGGTCATTTGTTCCAGCCCAATGGAAACATGCAGTGTGAATTTGAACAATTATTCAGACTAATCACACTATATGCACTAATCACACAATAGCTGCATCTAGCCTGGGAATGGTATGAAACAAGGTGAAGGTGAGGTCTGCTTTTCTTAAGAGGATGAGAAGTGCCTGAAAAGTCTAAAAGTGGACCTCCTTATTCACAGTCTACTGTTCTCACGGTCACTCTCTTCCTTAAAGACAAGACTATTAACTTACTATTTCAGGAGGAAAAAAAGAAAATGAAAGAAGAGGCTGTCAATTATCTTACTACAAAATGTTAAATTATGGGATATGGGATTACTAGTAGATAAAATAAATGTCCGCTTTGTAAACCATCAAACACACAGACATCTTACCGTCAAAGACAACGCCATGCAGACAAAGGTGAATTTTTTTATATGTGTTGCCGTCACTGTGTTGCTCGTGCTCACCAGTTTATTGCTGGGATTATTCTAGGAATAGAAAAAGAGAATTAGTACTAAAAATACCAATGAGCAAGCATTGGATTTCTGGATGTCTCTATTTTACTCCCACAGCCTCCTTGCAGTCTCAGCCAAGTGCCTTGGAAGAGCTCTAACTGCACTACTTCTTTTCACCCTAGGATGACTCCTGCTGCCTGACATATGGGTGATATAATTTAGAATCTTAAGACTTGGGTGGGACCTGAGAGGTCTCTTAATCAATCCTTTCACATCCCTGCCAGGCAGTCACCTAGCATCATACTTTCTCCCATACTTAAGGGGTACACATGTTGCATTTGCATAGTAGATTCCAAGCTCCTTGAGGGCAGGGATAGTTTTGTTTTTGCATTTTTGTATCATCAGGTGTGAGAGGAAGAAAGTGTTAAATAGAGTCTGACTGGAAAAGAGACAGATGTTTTAAATTATATCAGTTCCTATGAGGAGGGTACTAATATTCCACTATCTTGTGCATGAGTGAAAGAATGGATGGGGGGGAGTAAAAGCATTAAGTCTTTACTATGTGTAAAGCACTGTGTTAAGTAACCACTGGGGATACAAAGAGAAAAGACAGTTCCTGTTCTCAAGGAACTTACGTTCTACTAGAGAAAAACAAGACATAAAGGAGGGTTCAGCTGCAAGTCAAATGGAAAGGTCCCATAATTCTTCGGTTCAGAGGGCAGGGTTGCTTCTTGACATTATTTCCATTGATAAAACCATCTGGTTCTGACATTGAGCCATTTCAGTGCCAATGGGACAGTGGGAATCAGAACCAAGTCTTCAAGGTAGGTGTATGTGATATGAGAGAAGAGAGACTAGAGAAAAGGGGGGGGAAGGGGGGAGACAGAGAGAGAAGGAGAGGGAGAGAGAACAAATACTGCTATTTCCAGGGCTCTTGGGCTCAGGGTCCTGCGCTGTCTTTTTGGCTAGGGTAGCTTGCCTGTCCTATCAGTGGGCAGGGATGGTGGCCTGCCTCTCCCAGATGCTGTTCCCCTGGATGATGGCTTCAGGCCCATTCTAGATGGAGGATTGTGGTCATGGGGGCCACTGCTATTCTTGGAGCTCTTATGCTTACTTGCCTGTTGGTGGTAGTTGGTTGGTAGTGGTTAAATGAGTGACTAGGAGGCCTAACTGCTACAAAAGTAATTATATATATGTAGATATATTTGTCTGCCTATCTATCTACCCAGGCTCATCAAGAATATAATTAGTCACATAAATGGCTAATATAAACAAACCCTTTGGAACACCTGGCTCCACTAATTCAGCCTAATGAAGTATACACAACCAGGCTATTAGATATTAAAGGGAAATCAAAAGCTAAGATAATTTCCTCACTTCTTTCTTCCAATTACCTGTCCCAATAACATGAATGTGAAAATGATCACAACTGCTTTACATTCTTAGCTGAGATACATTTGCTCCTTTAAAGAACAGAGCTAGTACAGTGTATCAGAGAATAGTCTAAAGGGTAGGACATGTCCATCTCCATCTTAAGTCAGGATCAAATATGTAATTGTGATAACTTAGGTGGCTAACTACAGAAATGAGATATCCCTGGGGCCAACAATTCTGCCATAAAGTTTTATGGAAGTCTTAATCTCACCTTAGCAAGTAGGAGCCAGTATTGTGGCAAAGGATGGCCAGAGTTCCCATGGAAAATATGCTGCCTCAGAAGGAGGCTTTGATTTAGGATGAACTGGAATCCTGCACATTTTAGTTCCCTGTGCCATAATATGTGATGAATGCTGGACCTTCATTCTACATAATTCTACACTTCTCAGACAAAACGGGGCCCTCCTGGCCTGGTCATTAGAGTCGGATGCACAACTGTTGTCTGATGGAGTTAAGTCAAGTCATTGAGCATTGAAGTGCTTACTTACTATGTGCCAGGCACTGTGCTGATCGGGAGTCACCTGGCCTAATCACCATACAAGCCTTAAAAGAGGTAGCCAGGTGTGTGAGAAAGATTACGGTAATAGGTCCTGATCAGAAAAGAACTAAAAGTTTTTAATTTTGGGTCAGTTCCTGCAAGGAACTGTAAGTGAGGAGGAACACTAACAGAGCCAGAGAAACTCACTCTGATTTCATGATCATGAAAATCATATTGAGAGGGTAAAATGTGGCAAAACATAAAAAGCAGAGACTTTTAAAGTTCTTTTACTTCAGTCACGATTGTCAAAGATATTTTACTTCTTAAAGTGAGAGAGACAGAGTCAGAGAGATGGAGACAGAGAGACAGGCAGAGAGGCAGTTAACAGAGTGACAGAGACGGAAACAGAAGGGTGACATGCTGTAGTCTATAGAAAGCTGGCCTTGATAGCCAGAAGACTTGAGTCCTATCTCTGACACACACTGGCTATGTGACCCTGAGCAGATCACAACCTCTCAAGACTCTATGCCACTTTCTAAGACTATAAGTTAACTAGTCAGTCAACAAGCATTTATTAAATGCTTACCATGTGCCAGGCACTGTGCTAAGTGCTGGAACAACAAAGAATGGCAAAAAACCCAGTATCTGCCCTCTAGTAGTGGGCAAGCAATATGTCAAGGTGCCAAACTGCACTGGATTGAGTTTCTTCATGTAGGAGCTTGTTATACTAAGGAAATCATAGCTCTAGTCCTTGTTCCATCCCCAAATTGTCTGCTCTACTTAAAAAGGAATTCTGCCTTGTATTGAAAAATGACAAGCATAGATAATCCCTCCAGAGTCAATACTAGCCAAGAGTCCTCTCAGTGTACATTTAGCTGGATTTGGTGAGATTGTGAGAACAACTCTCTTACCCTCTAATCTGTGAGTAAGCCAAAGATTTGGGCTGCCAACACAGTAGAGACAGTCTCCATTACGGCGAATAAGTAGCAATGTTCACATATATGGAACTGGTTATAGCTTACTGGAATATTTGGAAACAATGGGTGGGGTTTTAGAAGCATTCTAAATAACAAGAGTTTCTGGCTGGAGGTGTGCTTGTTAAAAAGGATTTTTCAAAGCTTTCATTCTCTGGGCTTAAAAGTGAGTGACACAATATCATGAATAAAACAATGTTTTTCTTGGATCCACCCATCAAAACCCTACAGTGTGTATATTGTTCCATTTTATTATTTTATAGTAGCCAAAAACCATTTTAAATAAAACATTCACAGTTAGGAGGCTTTGACATTTTAGTACCTCCTATCCCCAGCAGGTTTAACACTCTCTGAAAGGCAGAACTGAAATCTTTATTCTGATGAATTTACTTAAAAATATGAGACCCCCATCTATACCCCAGCCTCTAATTCTTTCACCTCTCTTTTCGGTTTTCCAAATTTATTCTACACATGCATTTTCAGTCTTGAGATTACTTCTTGCCGGGGATAGATCATCCAATTACATTCACTCATATAATTATTCCATAAAAATGTAGATTTTACTGGATGATGCATTTTAACCTAGCCAGTTTATAGTAGCCAGAATTGCTTTTTAAGCAGTAACTTTGATTCTCTTTCACTCAAATCACTTTTTTATTGCTCTCTGAGTGAATTACTATTGTTATGAGTGGGAATGAGTCTGGAATTGGCATAGGGAACTCCTGATGAGGAGTCTCCCTAACTATGCAGATAATGTCTTTTTTCCCCAAATCTTGGAGTCTAAGACAGTTTCTGTGACTTTCCAGGGTCACAGAGCCAGTGTCTTTCCGATCTTAATGTGCAGACTCTTCATTTCTACCCTCTGTTACTTCTTCCTATTTTTACAAGTAATCAAAATTCTATTTGTGTAGAAATAAATCTACAGAAGGATCTCATCAGCCCATTATTCTTTTTAGAAGCTTTTGAGGTCTTTCTTATCATCTTTATTTTATAGAGGCAATATGAAAGACAACTCAAGTTAACTATGATTTGTGATAATTTAGACAGACCAGGCTGAGGTTTGCTCATTTTAAGTCCTGTATGCTATTTCAGGAGATTTTCAATTTATTTATTTATCTTATTTTGAACTTAAGAAATAAAACAAACATTTCTATAAAATAATAGAATAGAAAAAAAGATGATTGTACATGAAACTGCAAATCTATTATTATATATAACTTGCTATTCCTTTTCAATATAAATGCTTGAAGGCCACAAGAGGGCAGGTTGAAAGGATGGTTAGAGTTTGTGGCTCTGGGATCAGCTAGGTCACCTCTGATATCTCTTTTACTATCACAAATGACTTCTTGGGAACTAACTCCTGGCATAAATCAAAGTCAGTAGTAAGATTGGGCAGCTCAAAAGCAAATGCTCTTTGGTTATTTTTAGAGACCCCTACTATCCAGGACTAGGGAGGTGACAGTCCCACTGTCGTCTGCCCTGGTCAGACCAGGTCTGGATTTCTGAGTTCAGTTGTGGGTGTCACATTTTTGGAACAACATCATTGGTAAGCTGGAGAACACCCAGAAGTAGGCAGCCAGGATGATAAAATTTGGCCTGAAAAGTATGACATTATGAAGATGAATTGATATTGGGGATGTTAAGCCTGAAGAAGGGAAGCTCTGAGAAGGCCATGATAGCTGTCTTCAAGTAGCTGAATGGCTTCCATTGGAAAGAGGAATTTGACAGGTTATGATTAGAGCCAGAGGGCAGATTGAGGGAAAAAACATACAGAAGCTGCGAAGAGATAGATTTAGACTTGATGCTGGGAAAAAAATTCCTAATGATTATGGCTATCCCAAAAGGAAAAGTAGTGCTGAACACCACCTCCCTGGAGTTCTTTACCCAAAGGCTGAATGAGGAGATGTTGGAGAACAAATTTTTGCTTTGGCACAAGTGACACCAGTATGCTTGAGAGGTCTCTGCCAACTGGAACAATGACTTACAAACACATTAACTATCACCTCTTATCTCACAGGAGCAAGGTGAAGTTAATGAATAATGATGTAAACCTCTGCTTTAAATTCTTACCAAAAAAAATGCTCCACAAAAGCCAAGGTTTCATTGCTCCTCATTATTATTTGTAGTGGTTGGGAATCAGTTCATTATAGGTACCTGTTTCATGTTTAATTTAGGACAGATTATTTGTACCTATACAAGATTATTCTAAAATCTAGCCAACTTGATAATGGGAAGAGTCCAAAAGTAGGATATGCCTCATCGATTTTTATGACAGCTGAACCAAAGTAAGTGGATATTGCCACTAAGAGTTTTATTGGATACACATCTATTAGGTCAATACCCAAAAAGTCTTGGCTGTGCAAACTAAGAGCACATTTCCACAGAGAAACATTCATGTGCCTAACAACCCAAGGACTAAATGTATGTTGAAGCTCTATTTCTGAATTTAAGCTGTGGCTTTTACCCTTCCTTGTGCAATGCAAGGTCAAGCAAGCATTTGGTTTATGTAACAATAGGGATAGCTGACTTTTATATAGTGCTTTAAAGTTTGCAAAGTGCTTTGCATATATCATTTCATTCAATCTTCATGGCATCTCTGTCAATCTCTAGATAGTTATTTAAGCAGGAATCAATAGTACAATAGCAGAATTCCAGTATTGACCCACTCCCCAAACCCCGCCCCCCCCCTTGCAAACTTTGTGTATCTAGGTTAATTTCCTAATAGGAGTAACCTAAAGTGATTAATAGAGAGTCACTGGGATAACTGCACTACTATGATGCTTTATGTTTCCTGAAGAAAAATCCTTCTCAATTACCTAGCAACCAAGTCTGGGCCTCTAGATTAGAACTGTGACATTACCAAAATACTGTAATAACTTTGATACTCAAGGTGAAATTGAAAGGATCAGGGTGGCGTAGGGGAAAGAAGGGGAGAGAGTAGAAGACAGGAGAGTAAAGGAAAGAGAGCAAGGAGAGAGAGGTGAAGAGGGATGGAGAAAGGGGAGAGAGAGACATTAAAGGAGAGGACTGAGAGATACTCTACACCACAGGCACTCACCTTGTCAAAAGCAGGATAGACTGCTCTAATTTCAGTCAGCCAACCATATGGCATGTGACCCACAGGGTATGTAGCTGTCAGAATTGCCACTGCCTAGACAGGGAAGAGGCAGCAGACTTAGTCTGGGCATCAGCAAAGGTGCCTTCAAAAGCTGCCCTTTGAGATGTTACAAAATGAATATTTCAGGTTTAGCAATTTTGAGACATCACACCTCACTGAGAGATTAACTCTTCACAAACAGCAAAGAGGAGAAACTCTGCTCCCCACAGAAAAGAAACACTTAGACTGTTTTTCAGAAGTATAAAATGCAGCTAAAGATTAGGCATAGTCTCTATGCTAGCTAACCTGGGCTTTAGGACATCAGGTTCCAACAGAGAAATGAAAACTAGTTCCTTTTGCATTCACCTGTTAAAATTATCTTAGAATACCTTGTCAGTAAGGCTAAAGATCACCATGAATTTTTGCAAAATCTTTGCTATCGGGGGGGGATTTTTTTTTGGGTTCAGGCAACGAGGTTAAGTGAGTTGCCCAGGGTCACACAGCTAGTCAGTGTTATGTGTCTGAGGCTGGATTTGAACTCATGTCCTCCTGAATCAAAGGCTGGTGCTCTATGCACTGTGCCACCTAGTTGCCCCAATTGTGAGAATTTTAATAGGAATCTTATACTAAGGAAAAGCAATAACATCTCAAGCAATTTAGTTTTCCTTGATTGTTTTATGTAAGATGATCATATAAAAAAAAAGAATTACAGCACCTCTAAAAAAGGGATCTTTGGAGCAGCAGCAACTTCTGAAACTCATTTATCTGAATTGGGTTCAACAGGCAGTTTGCAATGTTGACTTCTCCCACATTCTATCACATTTATTTAAGAAATCTGGCAATCTGTCCCGGTAGGGTATAACCTAAGCCCTGACCTAACCCCAGAGCAGAAAAAAAAAAACAACCCTTAAATTTCAAGTTTCTTTTTACTCTTCAGCTAATGTTTTCCTTGATGTCACCTTAATGACTAGAATGGATATGCTGAGGGAAACAGTGAATGTTTAACCATGGCTTTGCAGTCACAGACAACCTGTTCTATATAGATCATTTCTAAAGTGAATTAGAAAACTAAATTTTTTTCCCACCAGAAAATCATGGCTCATCTCCAGGGAAATGAAGTTATTTTTCATCACAAGACCATAGATACAGATCTTCTCCTGAATCATAGAGTTGAGGAACTAAGGCCTGGAGAAGTTAAGTGACTGCTCAAGGTCACATGGCAGGAAAATTGATATTTGAATGTAGATACTGACACCAAATCTGACATGCTTTCCATTGCACCACACTGCCTCATGTTAATAACTTAAGGAACAACAAAGTTCTCAAACTGACCCATGCTTAAACTGATTCTAAGCTATTTACTGATTACTACACAACAGTAGAAGTAATTAAATGAATAGAACAACATTGGTATTTTAAAATTAATGTCTAGTGTTATTGAGGAATGGTTTCCAGAAAAGTGAATTTTCTACATAATTGCAACTTACTTGTATGCTGCTAAAAGCTTAAAAAAATTAGTCATTTTTTTACATTGAAGTTTTTCTAAAGTCCATTAATGTTTTCTGTCTTGGAATGTTAAATAGTACTTAGCATGTAGTAGCAGTAGTAGTACACTAGTAGTTCCAGTAATAGTTGGCATTTATCACTTTATGGCTTACAAAGTATTTTCTTCCCATTATTTACTTTATTCTCACAATAGCCTCATGAAATAGATAAGAGAGATCACATTATTCCTCTTTTTGCAGATATGGAACGGGAGACAAAGAGATATTAAAGAGATTATTTGCTTAAAATTGCACAAACCAAATGGCAGAGTTGGGATTCAAACTCAGATACATCTGATTCCAAATCCAGTGTTCTTTTCACTCTACCACAGCTGCTCAAAAATATTCTAAATGAATGAAATTCAGTTTCTTATTGATGACTCAAGACTATGCTACCATCATCAATTATTGCCCTGGGATTTAATAAATTTATGCTTCACAAGTGATCCGGCAGTATGTAGGGATGCCTGATGCTGAACTTTCATAGCCCACACTTGCTGTACTTTCATAACACGTAAAAGTGTTAGACTTTTAGACTTCTTTGGGCTGCTTTTCATGAGTTTCCACTGTCCTCCTTTGTTTCCAGGCTGTCAGATGTTGTTTTTTTTTGCTGCTTTTTGCCAGTTGCTTATGTGATAGAAAGCCAGATGATCAAACTGGCAATAAGAATGGAATCTAAAGTAAGAGTGAAGGAGAGACTGTAGAGCTTGCCTATGAATAAACTACAAAAGCTTTAGTATATGGATTTTGTATTTTTTGATTCCTTCTGGATTCTTGGATACTGAAATGCTATTGTGTTTTAATTAAATTATGGAAAAATTACTCCATGACTTTTTGCTGTAGGACATAATTTTTTGCCTAATCATAGTGTCCTTTTGAGCTGATTACTGATTAGATAACTTTGGTATGAATGTACGAAGTATTACAGACTTTATGACCTTTGAAAACAACTAGTCTTGCAAACAGCTCCCTTGCTATGGCTAGAAACATAACAAAAAAAATAAAAAAAAAAAACAAACCCAAACCTTTCTTTTTTATATCACATTCTTTCTCATCTCATTATGTGGCCTGGATTCCCTCTGGGCTAATTTAGAAATTGCTTTAATATTTAATTATGCTCCAGATTTTCTTTTCAAGAGATGATGGAATTCCAATTCATGGGCAAAGGCTGGCTGTCACATTTTTCTTTATGGACAACTTGAAATGTGCTTTTGGGAAAACTGCTGTTACAGAAACCACCCAAGATGAGAACCATCATTTTAAAAATAAAATCCAGGAACCAAATGGGGCATAAAGGCTAACATTCTCTTGATTTGTGAGGTTGTTTTCCTCCCATGCCAACAGTGAGATGCTTCCCAGATCATGGAAAATGGCAGGATACATGGGACAGGATACATGCTGACAGGGCGTTTCAGTGCTCAGCCCTGCCCCTTCCTTTTCAAAAGCAACATGTCCAAAAATAGTAGTTTCTAAAACATTCAGGCAGCCAATTTCTTTCCTCAAAGAACTGTAGTTACAGAGGGCAGAATTAATTCCTCAGAACTTAGTGCTGGAGAAGAAATGAAGTAATGCTGTTTAGTCACACCACACTTGGGAGAAAATGGTTCCGTTCTCTCTCTTTTGAATTATATTTTTTCCAGCGTTGGGTTAGATGAATCAATAAGGTAAACAGGTTTGGGTGAGACTTGATATTGCTAAAAAGGACACTGTCCATGACATTTAAAAGATGGTACAATGTGGTGAAATGTGAGGGAACAGGTTTTATCCAAGCCTCCCTTGATATGTTACCTTTATGTGCAATTATATGACAAATGTTATTGAATTTGGCAGCCACAGTAGAAGGGTAATGAACTCACTGTATGGTGCATAGAAAAAAAATCATTGGATTAATTCCCCAAACTAGATGGGTGAACTTGGAAAAACCATCACCTTTTTGGATCTCAGCTTCCTTATCTTTAAAACAAAAGGCGGGGTGGGACTAGACTATTTCTAAGGTCCCTCCCATCTCTTAAAAGTCTTAAGTGATACCCTGATGTCTTCCGGCAGGAAGGCTCCACACTAATTTCTAATTACAAGAATGGGTTGACTACTATACATACATTTGTAAATCCTTCACTACTGTACCTCAGTGGCTGCAGAACTACCGCCAAGGTCACGGGACACAAAAAGGTTGACAATAGGTCTGCTGATTCTCTGAGTTGCCAGAATCAAAGCCAAAGGCCACCAGAAGCTCAGCATCTTCCTTACTGTAGCATCTCCCTGTATCAAGAAGTGAAAACAGAAGCTTATTCAACTCTACCTGTAGAAAAGAACCAAAGGTTCAGCTAAAAGCCCTTCTTCCCATGATTCTACGGGAGTCAATCAACTCATTAGTAACCTTTAAAATTTATGGAGGGGACAAAGGTCTCCTTAGGTGAGCCAAGAAACATAGAACATTATGGGAAATTAACTCATACAGTTGGCAAGGCAAACATATCAGGCTAAGCAGATCCAAAATCCTGTTTTCCATGCAGGAAACATGTTTCTTTACCAAGGCCAGGATCTCATTTCCAGCTTGTAATGAAGAATAAGTTTGAAATTGGTCTCAGTTTAATGATGGGACTGTCTGGTCAGTAACTGTGTAATAGGAGGAAGGACACAACAATAAAGGATATTTGGGGTTTATTTTATATTTAGTGAGCGCCTGTCAAGGAACCTAAACCTTAACCTGATTAAGGAAACTACAGGGAAGTAAGGTGCAATTTCCCAATTTCAGATATCTAACAGGAATAACTGGTATTATTAAGAACCAAATAGAAGGCAGGTTGAAGGCAAAATAACTTAGTAAAATGTTATTAAGTATGAGATAGCTAAAGAGTTTCAAAATAAGAAGTCCCCCACTGTTCTGTGATGCCCATTTTTATGTAGCTTTTTGCTTGCTTCCCCCCAAAGAATAACTTCCATAATGACTGTCTAGGGGTAGGGAACCTACAGCCTTGAGGCAACATGTGGCCCTCTAGGTCCTCAAGTGCGGCCCTTTGACTGAATCCAAACTTCACTACTTGTTTTGTGAAGTTTGGATTCAGTCAGAGGGCTGCACTTGAGGGCCTAAAGGGCCACAGGCTCCCCACCCCTATTAGACACTGCCCTACATTAAACATTTTTAAAACAATTATTTTTTCTGTTTCTAAGTGAGTGACAGTAATGGATTGATTACTGGGGAGTCATTTTAATTTGGCTATCCTAATAAGAGTAACTGATGTGATATTATCAATAGCTTCTTTATTGATGTCCAAGTAGCCAATATCATTAATTACATAGATATGGCCTTCCACGCTTTGTGGTATGGTATAGCACGGACATAATAGATATAATATTTTACAAAGTATTATGTAAGTTCTTTCACAGTATTAAAATTATACTATGAGTTCAGCATGTTTAATCCAAACTATGAATTACCAAACTCAGCAACTGGCATTCTATCTATGTTTTAATTGAGAAACCCATTACTTGTTGGAATACTTATAAGACTCCACAATTTGGTTACGTTATATGTCTTCTGTAACTGCTACAGTCCTTGGTGTAGTGCTTGGCACATAGTAGGTACTAAACAATTTACAACCAGAAGGCACTGACCCAGTATGTGTTCCTGCTGAGAGATTCAAGATGTATGCCCCTTCAATCTACTTATGAATACAAAACCACCACTTACATACAGGCACTAACAAATTAAATGACGGCATTTTTTACTTCTTCAAATACAAAATTCATCTTTGAAACAGAAGCATAAACAGGATACTAATTAATAATGCTCCTAATTATTCTTCTATGTGAATATCACTCAGCATTTGGCTTTAGGCTGTGACTACCTGGGTCATAGTATTGAGAGCAGTAGAAACTTATTAAATGCTTATTGACTGAAGAGAGCACTCTATCACCTTTAAATATTCTCATTCTGTATGTTACCTCATCAAGATGGGTACTTGCTCCAATGATGGAGATCACAACCTATCCATGATGGTACAACTTGTGTGACTCTTATCTATGTCCTTCCTGAAGTCTGCCACAGGGAGTTCAATCAGTCAGTCAACAAGCATTTATTAGTCACTATATTCTCGGCACCATGCTCAATATATGGAGTTATCCTTGCTTTTCTTGAAGATGCTAATGGAGTCTTATACTGGTTTTCTCCAGTCTCATATTTTCATAATGCTTTACTATTTATTCCTCATTTATCACCGGTAAAAGCAAGGAACAAACCTCAAGGAACACCGGTAAAAGCAAGGAACAAACTATGTAAACATGACCTATAATAATAGCACTAAATCTTCTTATGGTGATCAAGGCATAAATGGATTTTTCATTTTTACAGGGGTGGAATGAAAACAACTATTATTTTGTTTTAATGTGAGTATAGAGATATTGGTGAAATTGTAGGTAATCACAGCACATACTCATCAAAACGTACCCCTAGTTCAGGTCCACTGCTATCTGGGATGATGTCATGAATGTTCCTGTAGTAACCCAGGCAGAGGGTGGTACAGCGGACAAGTGCTCCCATGTACAAAGAAAGGATTGGAATGAGAAGCGGTTCTCTGCATTCCAGGTGACTATGAAGCAAAATGGCTACAAAAACAACCTGAGAAGTTAAAAAAAAGACAGTGAGTCAAAGGGGAAAAAATAAAGAATTTCTACTTGATCTCAAAATAAGAGAAAAGCTTAACTTCGATACAAATAGAACTGAAACCAGGGAGTCTTGTTTTAGAACATTTTCTGACACAAGAATCCTATGTAATTTAGGGTTAGACAAACAGGATATAAAGCAAGAGTATATCAGTCTTTGTGCCGGACACAGTGTTGAAACCATCTCAAGGTATGTCTTCAGAATGAGAGTTAAAATTCTAGGTATGTACCAAAGGATCACTTTTCTGTCTATGCAGAACATGCAATTATCCTTCTCATTACTGTGAATCTGGACAGAACTGTGATTTGTCAATATAACGTCTGTTATAAACTGCCTCTGCTTAAGGCTGTACCAGAAGCTTCAGCTGGTCAAAAATACAGTGTCCTCTCCCCACCAAGACTAGTGACCATTTGGAGCAAATACATAATATTAGGGGAAGGCCAAATCTGGGAAACTTTCCAGAAAGAAAGTTAAATAATTCCCATTAATACGGCTATAGGCATAATGATAATAATTAATAACAATAATAAGACATTATCATTCACACAAAAGAGTAGAACAGATGGCACTTACTAAAAATATCACATGAAAATAAAGCTAAGATTAGTAATTAAATCTGCTCTGTTAGAAAGGTGAAATACTAGTTGAGGTAACTAGCAAACCAGTAGAATTTGAATTATTTTTTTAGTTCATAAATAATAATAATCACAGATGATAATAATTTAAATATGTTTTAGGGTTTACAAAGCTCTTTGCAATGCTATGGACATAATTAGCCCTCAATAAATGTACTCAATGAATGCCACCAGGCCATGGAATTCCAACAGTGTGACAACAGCAGGTGTAATCCAGAAAGGGCAGCCTTAACTTGAAAATGCTAATTTTTAAAAACGGTCCATAAAATAGAGATACTAGACAACTTGGTGATGCTGACGAAAAGGAAAAAATCCCACTTACTATAAACACATTGCAATTGAAAGATAAAAAAGGAACTTTGAGAAAGGGTATGGTTTGTGATGCTAGGACATTTGTAGACATGAAGAAACTGTAGAGAAAAACCAAGAAATCAAATGGAGACATAGAAAATGCATCTGGGGCAGCTAGGCGGCGCAGTGGATAGAGCACTGGCCTTGAAGTCAGGAGGACCTGAGTTCAAATCTGGCCTCAGACCAAACACTTGACACTTACTAGCTGTGTGACCCTGGGCAAGTCACTTAACCCCAATTGCCTTAAAAAAAACGCATCTGATCTAAGCGCTTCTCAAAGAAACAATGATAATAAATGCAACTGTTCAAAAAGCAATTTATTTGTAATCTGGACAGACTTTGGCACCAGCATTGCCTTTCTGAGACCCAATGAATGGGATCAAACTTGCCACAGATGCCCTACAGCAATGAAGGACAAAGGCACTGCTAGAGCAGAGTGGTGATAGAAAAATGCTCCCTGGAGGACAGATACTGACTGCGTACAATGGCAGAGAATTCTATTATGTACACCGAGCAATGCCCCATTTTGCCATCAGACATAATAAAACCTACCACTTTTCCCCTAAGTTTGGGGCATTCAAGTGGAAACTAATCATAAGCCATGAATTGCAAACCACAAAGCACTCAGATAAAGCCTTTCTGAAAGTCTTCCACCAGATATACAAAATGTGTTATTTGTATTCTGACTCCAATACATCCTTTTTTGAAGAAATCTGTTAATTCGATCATTTACAGGGTCACTCACAAAAGACCTGACCATGTGTTAAGTTCTATGAGTTGAGAGTACTCAGTTCATACTATTACATTTCTGGGGTACTTATAATGTTTTATATACACACATGTGTATAATATGTAATAATATAATATAACATAGTATAATATATTATATGTAATAGAGAAAATGAAAAGCCAAGACAACTTTAAAAATGCCTGACAAATGAGTTCTGAACCCCAACACTATTTTTGCCTAGTCACTGGCTTCTATGACACTGCTTTCTTCTGGTTCTCTCCTTCTGCTTCTCTGGCTGCTCCTTCTTGGTGTCCTTTGCTGACTCATCATCCTTCTCTCTCACCCTAAGCACAGATGTTGCCTCAGGTTCTGCCCTGGACCCTCTTCTCTCTTTTTAGGTGATCTCATCAGCTCCCAAAGAGTCAGTTATTTCTATACAGATCGATCTCATTTCAATTGGAATTTTCACCTGGATTTCCTATTGGAACCTCTAACTCAGTATGGCCCAAATCAGAACTCATTATTTCTCCCCTGCCACCCCCACAAAGTCAATCTCTCCTCCAGACTTTCTGTCGAAGGCACAACCATTCTTCCAGTAACCCATGTTGTAACCTCAGAGTAATCCTTGACTCTTCTATCTCAACCTCATATCCAATCAGTTATCCAAAATTGAGTCTATATACATCCCTTTTTCTTCACTCACACAATTAAAACCTTAGTTTAGGCTGTTATCACTTGTCACTGTAATAACCTCTTAATTGTTGAATCTGCTTTCAGCCTTTCCCCTCTCCAATATACCCTCCACATGGCTGCCAAAATAATTTTTTTCTTAGATAAAGGCCTGGTAATGTTACAGTACTTCTGCTCGAAAATCTCTAGTGATTATCTATTGCCTCTAGGATAAAATACTAAAATAAATAAAAAGTAGTCAGGCTGTAATTTAAGGACATTTACAATCTTTCTTCATATTTCTAACTATATTTCATGTAACTCTCCCTTTTCATACTCCATAATCCAGCCTAACTGGACTATTTGCTTAACTTCATATTTTATCTCTTGCTTCCATGTACTCTCTTAAACTGTCCTCTACGCCTTTTCTCCTTTTCCTTTAAGAATCTTTAGCATCCTACCATAATTGGAATTTGAAAACTGATTAGCACACTGGGTAGTTCAGAGGAACAAGTATTTCCTCTTGGACCACAGAACAATGAGGCTATCAAGATGCTGAAACTGGAAGACAGACTTGAGTCACACCCAGAAATTTGAAAAGGACACACATAGTCTGTAAGAAACAGACAGGGGAAAGAGTGAGGCTATCAAGAGCCAGATAATAGCAATAAGGAGGCAGCATCCTCATACCCACATAAGACTTGATGAGTTGAGCCTGAAGGAATCAGACGCTTAGAACTGAAAAGGAGAGCTTGAAAGTAAAAGTAAAAGGAGGCTCAGCTATGGCAAAGAAGGGAGAGATGGAGAAGAAGCCTTTGGATGAAGCTACTGCTTATACTTTTACCTACAAGGACTGAGGGAAGGTTAAAAAAAAAGTATTCTCTAACCCCAATTATCTCTCCCCATGCCTGTTCAATAAATGATATAGGTCACAATTAGTGTAAATAATGAAACCCTTTAAGAGCTTGTATGTTTTTGAATTCATACTACTTGAAGTTACAATTATGTAAAATATGGTCACTGTCTTCCAGCCCAATGGAAATATGCAGTGTGAATTCAAATAATGTGAACACAAAAAGAAGATTCAATATTAACACTAATTGAGACCAAGCTTGTTTCTTTTACCTAAATATTTCCTATATCCTAATTTTCATCTCAAAAAGTGCAGGATTGTTCTACCCACTGGGTTAACAAAGACAGAAAAACAACACAGTCCCTCTTCCCAAAGTATCTGGGGAACAAAATAGCAGGGGCAGAGATATGATACAAACAAATAAATATGATGCAATGTGAGATAGTTCCTTACCAACCAAAGATAAAAACATGAATTTTTAAAGATTTATAGTGTTGGAAAGGTGACCTCTAACTGAACTGACCACTTTTGAAGAGTATGTCATTGTCAATGAATCCAGCAGAGAAGCCTTTGTTATTATAACATTTTTGTGCTCATAATCACTTATATATGAGCTTTGGGCAAAGGAGTAGAATAAGAAAATTGCTTTTCAAATTTGTTTTTTGGCCCAAGAAAGATTAGAACATGGAGTACAGCCCTAGTATTAGCTACTGTAAAGTAGTTCAAAAACATTATAGGGCATTATAGAGGGTTATACACTCTAGTTTTCCCAAAGAAAGTAATCTGTTATAAATAATATAATTATGTGTTGAACCTAAATGAGTTTGATATGGACCTCATGAAGATAGATCACATCTGAATTGTCTACAATAAGGTAATAATAGTAAATTAACGAATCAGAGTTCTGTTTATGCTTTTCTATTTTTAAAGATACAAAATAATGTGACAGATTATAGACAATATTATTCCTTGATTTTAGGTGGAGGAAAATATTAACATATTTGTGGAAACTGAAATGCATTATTAATTTATAGGTACTAAGAACTGTAATTAAGGCAACAGATTTTTTCCTGAAAGATCAGATTTTTCAATAGGATAGTAAGCAGACCCTAATAAATGAATTTGCTAATGGGTCTACTCTGATTCCCATACGTGAATCTAGAAATGGTATAATTTTGAGACATTGAGAATGAGTAGAGAAACATAAGAAAGCAATACTGAAAGACAAAAAAGTAGGCAGTTACACATTCTTCAAAGTTATAGTTGAATTAGGAACGAAGAAGATAAAGGAGGTCATGGAACAAAGCAAATTGCAATAATATGATTGTTCTATGTTAATACAATGCATCCTACCATTATTTCCCAAATTAGTTTCAATGACCTGTTATTAGATATAATTTATATTCTTTGTAAAATCCAATCTTTAAACCTGCTCAGTGGTTTCACTGAGGCCATTACTCAAGCTTAACAACAAAACTTCAATTACAACACATCTTCCTACCTCTTGTTTAATGTTAAAAGTCTCATTTTTTCTGTGTGTGTGTGTGACCCTTATGAATCATGGGATTTTTAGGAATGAAACTGTAGTAATTAGAGAGATGTCATTTTGCCAGCATAAAGCTTAGCTTCAAAATAATAGAAGATATAAAAACTCTCTACTGGGAAATAAGAAAAGAAGTATTTTCTATAATCCTCTGGCAAATTCCATATATGAACAACTGAGGACATATAAATGTTATAATAATAATAGCAACTTTGTAAAGTATTATCTGACTGAGATATTACATTTCCTACACTGGCTCAGGAGAGAACTTGATTAAGAGGGAAAAATGGGGACCAAAGGCTTTAAAGTTCTGCAGAAAATTAAAAGAGGTCAAAACACGTGTTCAGATGTTATGACATGTTTATATTTGATCATCAGTGATTCTTACATCAATAAGAACTTCCTAAATAGCTCTCAACAGTGAATAGGACACATGATAGACATAACACTGACCTGACCAATTAAAAATCAGCCATGTCACAAAAGCAAAACAGCAAAACAGAGGTGTATGTGTGTGCATGTACGTGCACTAGCCAGTGGTGGTGGAGAGTAGGGATTAATGACCAATAAAGTATGCATTCCACCAAGTTGTATGAACACAAAGGACAATGTTTAAAATAATCTAACCCAACAGATGGAAATGTTACATCAAAATTAAGTTTTAAGAAGATTCTTATTGCCAAAACATATGTCTTTTTCAAATCCTCAGCAATAATAAAATTAAGTTCATAAAAGCAGATGCCATCTGAATTTAACTTCAACCATTCCCATTAGAGCAAATCTGTTTGTAATGGATCTGTGAGCCTTGCCGCATTGGGCAGGAACTTAAATTTAAGGAGGAAAATATTGGCATTTTTCAATAGTATAAGTTTTCTCTTTCTTTGGAATGATCTCTTTGATTTTCTGTCATGTATATATCTGTTATGATGTTACTCTGACAGCCTGGGATGTGAAGTTTGTTTGATTATGGGAGAGAAGATGGAGCCTGAGAGGGTCATGTTTGTGTGGTAGACCATGAGGGAAGAAAAGCAGAGGAGAGGTACTCATAAAACTGAACTACCTCAAAATATAGGCAATTCTTTTTTAAAAAATATATTTATTTAATATTTTATTTTCCCCCCAATTACATGTAAAAGCAATTTTTAAGGTGTTATTTTCTTTAGTATTTTTTGTGCCTCCTTTACCAAGCTATTGAATCTTTTTTCATAATTTTCTAGCATTGCTCTCATTTCTTTTCCCAATTTTTCCTTGACCTCTCTTATTTGCTTTTTAAAATCCTTTTTGAGCTCTTCAAGGAATTCTTTTGGTCCTGAGACCAATCCACATTTTTCTTTTCGGCTTTGGGTGTAGCAGTTTTGACTTTGTCGTCTTCTTCTGGATTTTGTTTTGAGCTTCCCTGTCACCATAGTACATTTTTATGGTCAGGTTTTTTTTGTTTGCTCATTTTTGAGCCTAATTCTTGACTTGTAGCTTGATGTTAAAGTTGCTTCAGGATTTTTGTGTAACTGTTTTCAGAGCTAGCTGTGAGGGGTCTGTAAGTTTTCAGTTCTTCCAAGGTGGTATGATCTTATGAGATGTTTGTTTACTATTCTCCTGGCCTGTGCTTTGGTCTTTGAATGATCACAAATACTCTTTTCCACCCTAGAACTGTGACTCCCCACTTTCCTGCTACTGCAAGCTCTGGTGTGCTAATGCTTCTCCCCACTCTGGGACTGCGACCCAGGACTTCAACCTGATCTGTGCATGGGCAATGGATGGAACAGCTACACCTAGTGCCAGCAAATAAACCCTTGTAAACCCCTTCTTACCAGTTGTCTGGTAAGACAACTTACCATCTATGGGCTGAGAGCTCTGGAAGGTGCATCTGCTGCTACAGATTCAGTAATCCCCCAAGGCCTGCTACTAGTTTGCAGGGGTTTGGACTGTGTTGGACTGAGTTTCACTCTTACCCAGGTAGGACAGACCTTTCCTAATTGTTTCACCCCAACATTTTGTGGGTTCTGATGCTCCTGAATTCATTTTGAGGCATTATTCAAAATTGTTTAGATGGGAATTTGGGAGAGCTCAGGTGAACCCTTGCCTTTTCTCCACCATCTGCCTTCCATCAAATGTAGGTGATTATTAATGACAATTATGACAAATGACAAAATGTACAATGATGAAAAAGTACAGTTGTGAGATTAAGAAGGAAAGGGGAACAGAAGCGGGTCTCATACAAATGGTACAATGGGATCATTTCCTGGTTTTTTCTAATTACTTCACTGCTGTGTCTGGGGGTATGGTAAGGCATTGTGGCACCAAGACTAGAAGTGCTACATTAAAATTGATTTTTAAGAAGAATATTCTTGTCAAAATATATCTTTCTTTTTTAAATCAGCAATGACAAAAATTAAATTCACAAAGTTTCAACTTGATTGAAACATCTTAAAATTTCAGATATAATAGAGAAATGTCCATTATGTTTAAACCTAAGCAGTCAAAGGATCATAAAACCAGCACAAAAAGGGAAGAAAAATTATGGTATTTAATCTGATTTCTTTGAAGAAGCTTATTTTACTATGCAGACCACTGTCCAAACACAACTTATTAGAAATTAGTTTTAACACAAACTCATATTAGCATAGCATCATGTGAAAAAGCACTCAATAAACATCGTGATTCTTAATGTAAGTAAGGCTATTCATCATTATCATGTAAGTATCAATTGTTCACTCTGGAGGTCATCTATGTTTATTCTTCCTCACTGGCTTATCTGCCTTTGACTAACAATTGTCAGGTTAGTACAGATCAAATGAGATAATATCTATAAAGAACTTAGCATGGTGCCTGGCACATAGTAGGTTCTATATAAATGCTTATTCCTTTACCCTTCCTCCTATCCTGCCAGGTACCCATGAGTACCTGCACCAAAAACAATTAGTAAAATTAGGCAATTTTCAAGATTAAGAGCTGAAATAAAATGTGACAGTTGTTTCCTAATTTCATTTGTTGAAATTCTCACTTTCTTTCACAAACATGTGTAATTAAGAGTTAGATAAATAGGTTTTTACTACTCTGTAACAAGTCCATTCTTTTAAAAGATTAGGCCTATTTTTCCTTCTGTGGAAGGTGTATAATTAAGTTTTGGTAGCAACTAAAACCAAATACATAGTTCTTAGCTTTTACCCATGGAAGTTGAAACTACAAAGAAATAAAACTGATGCGTGGGGTTTATGGGATTAGTCACGTTATTTTACAATTATATTATTTTATAGTCACACCTTTAAAAATAAAGCTCTCAATCTCAGTTCCTTCAAATCTCAGATTTAGCCCTTGATTAAGAATACTTTCATCACAGACCTATATAAGAAAGTATAGAATTCATTCAGGCCTGTGGCTATCCTGGAACATCAGTAATGGCCTTCACTAGGAATGTCCCCTTAAGCACATCACATAAGGTCAACATAAAGGATGAAACAGACTGGTAAGTTCATTACCTGAGCTATGACATCTGAAATTGAGGCACATCCCACCAGAAAACTGTATTTGTGTTTCAAGAGAATGCCTGCATGTGTCCATGCCTGTCACAAAAGAGAAGAAACAAATGTGAACAGATCCAACTGAAAAGACATCTTCCTGTTTATTTAATTATGGATTTTTCTCTTTTCAGTCACTTTCTATTTCTTCCAAATTAGTGACTCTATGAGGGATCTGTGATTTAATCAGGATGGGAACTCTGGTGTGGGAACTCCCTCTATCAATGTAACTTGTCGCTGGTTTGGTAGATGTGTACCAGGAAGTTGCCTTGGGAAGAGAGAGGTGAAGTCACATAGAGTCTTATCACTAGCATCAAAGGCAGAATTTGAGTCCAGGTTTTCCCAATATTAAGTTTAGTGCTCTATCCACTCAGCTACACTGCCCCTACTTCCTGGAAACATGAACCTAAAGTTAAATCAATTTTATATTTAATTTATGGTTTACAAATATTCCTACTTATCAATTAGCATTTTAATACAATAAGCAAACAAGTAAGGAAATTATTTAGGTGTCAGTATGCTAGAGAACTTATTAAGACTTATATAGTGGCCAGGTCTTCACTACTCAGAAGAAGTAAATGTAGAAAAACTGAGATAGCTTCTGAACGACATTTATTTATTACATACTATATACAGGACATGGGTAATTGCTCAAAATGTGAATGTATATGGGAAGGAAGGATTGGAGGGAATGCAAAGGAAACAGAAAAATGTAGACTCTTTTTTCCATAAAGAGCTAATAACCTTGATAATATTAATATCATATCTCTACCTCAATTACTTATGTATTCCAAGTGAAAGCATATTTTAGAAAGAATTAACTAGGTGACTGACACCTTCAGTTTCTTAGTGGACAGATGGCCAATGAGTCAGCATTAGAGTTGCTAGGTCAATTCAGAATTTCTGGCTTTTTATGCTTTGGTTAGTATGCTGGGCTATGGTCTTTCCTGGCTAAATGACTCATAACGACCCAGCAGCCAATGCTATTTACTTAGTCCAATAATGCAATTGCATACTCTGAAATCTTAAGCATTTTTTATTGGGAAATGCTTACAAAAGTAATTAATAACACCAGGAAGGAATTATGACAGATATTCCTGGGCAAGAAGAGTGAATTATAACCAGCCTTTCTTAAATAAGAGAATATTAAGAGAAGAATTTGAATTTTATATGAAGCTATGCTATAATCAAGACTCTTTAATTTAGTTCAATATAATTACAATTCTTGTACATTCTTATTTACTGATTAGTGGGGAGTCTCCTAGTCTCTTGGCTGCAAGTTTGGGCATAGCCTGACTCTGCATCTGAATGTCAGCATCTTCAAGGAAAGGTAGGACTGAGGTACTATAAACCAAAACCTGATGTGTGAAAGTTGGTGAAGGGCCGCAGTTCTCTGCAGGATTGGATTCTCTTTAGACTTAGCGGCTGCTAGGTTTAAACCTACACTTAAGAGACGTAATATTCTCACAGCTAAGAAGGTGAAAATTATTACACATTTCACACCCATTTCCTGGGTTTTTGTATGCTTGCCTATTCTAGTCATTTTGTTTCTCTGCAGCCTAAACCCTCTCTCGGAACATACAAGTTGTGGGATTTCAAGTGTTAAAAGAAATGCTTACAGCATTCACATCTATTTATAGCATTTGGTGGTCTGTCTGGTGGCCTGAAAGCTATCATTATGATTAATAAGTTTTGTGGTTTTTCAAATATTGTCTCCTCAACAAATGTATCAGAGCCATAGGGAAAAATTCATTGCATTTTTGTAGGTTTTTTTATTTTAAAGTTGCTATTAATAGCAGTTTTGCTCAGCTGTGTTGTATTCTTCTGGGCATGTGCATATGAAGACGGAAAAAAATACATCCTACTATGGTTCTGTTGTTATATACTTTTTCTTAGAAACACACTCTTATGGCTGAGAAAAACAGGCAGAGAGAATTGGGAGGTTGAATAATTAAGATCTTCAAATGCACTTCTGCCAACAAATCATCCCAACAGACTTGAATTCATTGGATAGTTGTACTGCATTTCATTTGTGGGTAAGAAGACTTCATTTTAAATGTGGATTTGATGATATGCATTAGAATTTTATTAAAGGCACTCTTTCTCTCCAGTGCCACCAATGTAAGGCTTTAACTCTCTGAAGGCCACAAAAGGATACACTTCTTAATGAATGCTGGTGGTAGTACTCTAGGGCTCTGAAGGCATTCCTGCACTAAATAAATTTAGATGCTATGCAGAACTCAGCTCCAGGAATTCAATCCAACTTTTGATGAAAATACATCAACTACTGCAATGGATGCATTTAAAAATTCACATGAAAACACACATCCAGATTCTTATGGCAGAGGTTTTATTTCCCATTGAAAAGCCTTAAGTGGGGCAGCAAGGCGATGCAGTGGATAGATCTCCAGCCTTGGAATCAGGAGGACCTGAATTCAAACCCAGCCTCAGACACTTGACACTTACTATCTGTGTGACCCTGGACAAGTCACTTAATCCCGACTGCCTCAGAAAAAAAAAAAAAAAAGCCTTAAGTGTTATACAGAGTTAGTTTACTGCAACTGAAATAAATGTGCCCAAGAAGCAGAAATATTTTAATATATGACAGCCCTGTATATTGACACAGAACCATTACAGATTCTGCCTGACCTTAAATTAAAGAATTTTCTGAAAGGTAAAAAGGTCTCAGGCACTAGACCTTTACAAGTAATAGGCACTTATAACTGATTCAGAGTATAAAGAATTTTAAGATGATAGGATGAGTATCATGGGGGTTAGTACAAATGTTGTAGGCTCTGTGATTTTGCAAACTATCTATAAGGCTGATTTAAATTAAGTTATAGTCTAAAAGAAGGGTTTATTTTCTGGTATTGGAAGTAATTTTCAGTGGCTTTTTCCTTTTCCATGGTTCTGTGCTCTCTGTAATATTGTATGTCTATCAATGTATAATCTATAAATCTACATATAAAATTTCATGGGAAAACTTGCCAGTATGATGACATGGAAAGCTTGAGCTGTCAAGATGATGAGTACTGAACTAAATATAGTAAAGCTAATTATTGAAGCGATGGCATCCCCACCAATTCACCTTAGCTGCAAGTGATTTCCTGGGCTAAAAGAATGGTTTATGTATTTAACCACATTAGAACACATCTCTGATCCTTTGAATCTAAGACTATTTGAATAGCTCCTTTGAGTTGTTTGCATATACCCTCTAAACCTGGAAAAACATTTTTTTTTATTCTTTTACTAACATGTGAGATGCAAAGCATAAAATGAAGGGATATGAAAGCTTGGCTAAAAGTGAAATGTTTTCTTTACTCACCATGGCATCCATGAAAGGGAAGGCAGCAAGATAAAGGAAAGCTCTTCGAGTTTTATTTCCCACTGATTCATCCACATGGTGCAGTTTATTAATTATGTAGTAGCCTAAGTCACTGTAAGCTGCAAGAGTACAAGACAAAGTTATCATTAATGCCTGGAGCTGCTCACAATTCTGAAGCCTCCAAGGTTGGCGAAATGGTTCACACATGTCATTTCCTTCCACCCTCACGATTACCTCCATTTACAGAGAGGCTGCAACTTGCCAAGGGGCACACAGTTAGCAAGTTTAGGAGGTGGGATTCAAACCCACATCTTCCCAACTCCAATGGGAGTGCTTTGTCCACTACCCCTCAGTGTCTTTCAATTCTCCAACTTGAGGGTGTGTGTGTGTGTGTGTGTATGTAAATATATGTATATATATACACATATAGATTTAGATATATAAATATATATAGAGATACATATATATACATATAGATTTAGATATATAAATATATATAGAGATACATAGGTATTCTTTTCTACCACGTCACAATTTCTTTTTCATGATGTAGGTCAGTTTGGCTTTGAACATTTTTTATCTCTTATTTATATATCTTTTTGGGGGGGGGGGCAGACAAAGGAAAAGGGACTCTTAGTATTCCTTTATTTCTAAGATGCAATGATTTCTAATAGGTTAGCACTTCCTGCTATAATGACATGTGGGCATTCTAACAATATTACAGTAGGAAAAAAAATACAAAGAAGGTACCTTTGTTTAAACTTTATGACTGATCCATGTTTATACTGCTCCTGAAAATAGTCATCTTCATTGTTGTTCAGTTGTGTCTGACTCTATGTGACTCCTTGGTCACATGGACCCCACTGGAGTGGGTTTGCCATTTCCTTCTCTAGTGTGTCCCCATTAATTAGGAACTGAGGCAAATAGAGGTTAAGTGACTTGCCCAGGGTCACAGAGCTAGTAAGTGTCTGAGGCCATATTGGAACTCAGATCTTCCTGACTCCAGGTTCAGTGCTCTATCCTGAGTCACTTAGCTGCCTTGTAGATAGTCACCTCAGGAGGGAGCTACAGCAGAGAAACATAAGCAATGTTACATAACACTATTTTGTGATTTTTTTTCTTTCTTTCTCTACTCCCAGTGTCAGGCAAAAAGAAATGAGAGAGTCAGGGATAGGAATCTTGGCAAATGTTCTAGAGGTTACCAATGAAAGTGCCAAGGTTGGACACATTTCTCTCTTCCTATTGAGGCCTATACTCTAAATAACCACCTTTTTAATTCCTTAAGCAACGAGTTTTCCTAGAGACCATGTCTTAAGGTGTCTTCTCATAAGATAAAATCCTCCCTATAAATGCACTGTAGCCTCACTTCACATCTAGTGTAACTGTGTTAGGACTTTTGTGAAAACCATGGAAGGAGCCAGTAATCCAGAAGTAGTGCCAATTGAGGAGAGCAGCAAAGTACAAAGAAGGCAGAAAGTGGGTACTAATTTATAGCTCATACCCTGGTGTTGCTTTATTTCTCAGAAATTTAATCCTGCTCCCAAACAATGCCTGTGCATTATAGTGGCGAAGATAACATGAAGAAACAGGAGAACAGCTGGAGTAACTGAGAATAAGGGAAAACTACTATAAAAGAGGTTATGGAAATACTTGTTTTATTCCATAAATTACAAATAAAATAAATAAAAATTAAAAATAAAAGAGGTGACATAGGAGATCTGGGGTGATACAGGGTAGCAGAATGATAAAGAGCGTATACTAATAGGAGATTTGGCTAGCAGAAGATGAAAAAAACAGCCTATAGTAGCCCCATTTTACCACAGCATGTTTGATAGAGAAACACACTGATTCTTTTCCTTTCTAACAAAAGCCATAAAACAACTAAATGCAAAAAGAAAAAAAATCCATTACATGAAAGATATGCTTTACAGCAATGGTTCTCAAACTTTTTGGACTTGGGACCTCTTTACACTCCTAAAAATTGTTAAGGCCTCCAAAAACTTTCTTTTATGTGAGTTATTAATATTTTACTATTAATGTTTACTATATTAACAATTAGGACTGATAACATTGAAAAACATTAATTCATTAAGCAATAAATCCTTTATATATTAACATAAATAATGTATTTTTAATGGAAAATAAATCCAAAACAAAAAAATTAATGAGAAGAATGATAGTTACACATATTTTTACAAATCTCTGGCTTAACAGAAGGTATCTGGGTTTTCATATCTGTTTGTGTATTTAATCTGTTGTGATACGCTGTTTTGGTGGAAGTATATGAAGAAAATTCAGCCTCCCTCATAAGGGAGGAACATTTTAACAGGTAAGTAACGTCTCAGTATTATTATGAAAATAGTTTTGACATTCTGGATCTCCTGAAAGGGCCTCGGTGACCCCCATGTGTCTGAGGACCCTACTTGGAGAATCCCTGCTTTAGAGAAACTTTAAAGGTATATGATAAATCAGATTAAGGTTAAAATTTAGTACCTTTTCCTCTAATCCATAACTTTTCTCTTTTCATTTCATGTTCTAGGTCTAATCTTTTGCACAGATTAATAGGACACTCCATTTTAATTCTCCCTATTCATCTAAGTAGGAAAGCTAAACCTTCCTGTGTTTTGTACAGACTCTCCGGGATTTGGGTTAAGTTGGCAGCCAAATCCCTGCAGATGGCTCCCCTCAGCTTCTATTTTCCCAGAACTGAACCCTTCCCTCCAGCTACTGAAGGAAGAGATTTGAATCACAGAAGCTTAAGGATTAAAGCCAATAGCATTTAAGCGTTCTTATGACAAATCAACATTCTTCTGTTAATTGCCTCCTATGTTCCTGGCACTGACAATAACAGGACAAAAAATGAATTACTCTCTGCCCTCAAGAAGTCTACATTCTATGGGAGGCACAGCATGTCCACTAAGTACAATATATAAAAAATAAATACATAATATGCACAAAATAAAAAAGAATGTAATTTGTAAGGGGCAGAGGAGTCACTAAGAGGAAAGGCTTCATGGAAGAAATGGTAACTGAGCTGAGGTGGTGCAGGTGATAGAGCACCAGGCCTGGATTCAGAAAGACTAATTTTCTTTAGTTCAAATCTGGCCTCAGACACTTACTAGCTATGTGATCTTAGACAAGCCACTTAACCCTATTTGCCTCAGTTTCCTCACCTGTAAAAGGAGCTGGAGAAGGGAATGGCAAACCACTCCAGTATCTTTGATAAGAAAACTTCAAATGGGGTCATGAAGAGTCAGACACGACTGAAAACAAGCGCACAACAACACCAACATGGATTCTAAGAAGTGGAAGTGAAAATGAAGTGCATCCCAAGCAGGGGAATAACCCATGCTAAAGCAAAGAGAAGGGAGAAGAATGTGATGAACAGCAGCAAGGCCGCCAGTTTGGATGGAGAGTAGACTACATGAAGGAAAAGGCTATCTAATAGCTCTGTCAAGGTAGGCTGGAGCCAGGTAGTGAAAGGTTTTTGTTTCCTAGCATTCCTATATTCTCTCCCTAGAACGGCGCGAGAGAAAGAATTTGGTCAGCCATGTTTGGCTCCACAAAGCGTCTCTGTGTCGAGCCCAACTCTGGGTTCTTGCCCTGTTCCTCCAGGCTTTCCGCATGAGGAAAGATCTACTTTGTGGTTTCTGGTTTTCTCCCACCTATTACTTATTTCTAGGACTGGAGAGGTGTAAATTATCTAAACTAATCTGTATACATAGCTTATTTAACAGGTTCTCAGGAAGGTTGTCTTAGCAATAGCTTACAACCTTCAACTCTAATAATCTGCCTCAGTAAGACAGTTCTTCAGAAACTATTTTCTGGATCTGTATATCTTAGAGATTAAAAGATTTTGAATGAAATTTCAATAAGGTTTTGAAAAACAAATTTAAATTGGTTCCATGAGGCAGTCCACAATCAGCCTATTTGCAGATAAGCTTGACTATATGTAAGTGGTCAGCTTGGGCTTTTCAGAGTTCAGAAGATAGTGATGGCTTTGAAGCCTGGAGGACTTGGCTTCTAATCCTGGTTCTGTCAGTTGTTACATGTATGACCATGGGCTAGTCACATACCAATTGCTAGCATTTATATGGTGCTTCAACGTTGGTGAAGCACTTTATAAATATTACCTCATTTTATCCTTACAACAACTATGGGGGTTAGGTGCTATTACCATCTCCATTTTACACATGAGGAAACTGAGGCAGACAAAGGGTGACTTGTCAATGGTCACAAAGCTAGTAAATGTCTGAGGCTGAACTCATCTTCCTGACTCCAAGTCTAGTGCTTTACCTATTCTGGATCTGTTTCCACATCTACAAAATGGGAATGAGAGGTTAGATTAGATCTCTAAGGTTTCTTTCTCTATTAAATTTATAATCTTATGATTCTAAAGGGGAAGAGTCCTTTAAGGCCATTTAAAACCATCAGGCTTGCTAGCTTTGACTTCAGGCAAGTAAGAAAATAATTTTAATTTAAGATGCTAACTAGTTTTGTTCTTTATTTGTCTAACTCAGAGCAAAGTTCTCAGTGACTATCTGAATAGTCAAAAAACTTAAGATCTTACAGCTCTTCCATCATTTTGTTTTCTCTTTCTGGGCAGGATAAGTGGTGCTGATTTCACATATGTATTGCTAATGTATTTCTTTCAAAAATCACTGACACCATACTTGCAGCAGGGTTGACAGCTCCTCTCACTGAATGGGCTGGTGTTTCTACTTGTGAAATGGGACATGTGCACACTCCATAATTCATCTGTGTGTTACACTACGCAAATGCTTAGCCTGCCAGGACATTTTCCACTGCCAAAACAAAGTCAGTGTCATCTAAAGCTTTTAAAGCTGAGTCTATGGAGGCATAAAACCAAGTCTTCCTACCGTGTCACATGATGCCATTTCTAAGAAAGGCATAATAATTCAAGCCAATCAATTTAACAAATACTTACTAAATACACAGTTTATGGAAGGAAGTTTGTAAGGAGCTGGAGGTAAAAATTCAAAAAAAAAGTTTCTTTCCTGGGGGCTTTTGACATATGACTAGTAAATTTTAGATTAGTGTGGTTATAAGGCCAAGAAGACCACAAGAGAATGTAAGGAAGCACTCACTAAGAGTTATA